CCGACCTGTACTCTTCGAGCAGCGAATTCTTATCCGCTCGAATGTTGTCTCGCATTACACTTCCGCTACGGATTCATCGGTGGCACAATTTTTACCTGCTATCGTTGCAACGGCGTTATTCTCTATTTCTCTGTCATTAGCCAAAACATGCCTGTCACTTTCTTCCGAAGGAAATTTATACATTACGTAGCGGGTAAGGCACGAACCTTCCGCCTAGCACTCCATCTCGCTATCGTCGAATACAACGAACTACCCGCTAAGCAGAAGCCAAATATTAACTGACCTATGTGTGAGTATATTTCTCGACCTAGTTCATCTACCGCTTCGTCAGCAGGCCCACCTCCAGCAGATTCTCTTAACTTCTGATCTATCTTCCAGTATGTTCGTGGAAGGTGAAACAATACTACCAAGGGAAATGTTCAAACAAGCTCCTTCTACTAACCAATCGATGACTGTTGAGCAGAGCGGTACGTAATACTGTAGTCACGAGCAGTTCGAACAGTGCCGCTTTCCAGCAGGTTAGCATACGTTGCCTTTAATGCTAGGGGGCAGCGGAGGTGCTGTCTGCGAATAAGTTATGAGACGTCACATCGTACTGCAGGAAAAACGAATCTTGCAGAACAGTCAGCAAAAGTACAACATCAAAAGTAGATATTCAGACAGAGCTTCAGGCGCTTATGAATGCAACACTCGAATGCACGTGCATAACGAAAGGGCTTATTTCAGTTAGTAAATGTAAATGCATACTTCGTCGTCGACTGCATGAAACTAAACACAGAAATGGCTCATTTTCCACGGTTCCTTACTGTCCGGTAGCCAATGAATTTCCAGCTATACACGATTTCTTCATGGTCCGGTGTAAGTTGACCAATCACGTGTTAGCACAGACAAGTTTTTTCATGGTCGTTCGCCGTGGGCGAATCAGCGGCGTTGGAATCGCGCATCTGTGGTGGCGATTGGCTCGACTCAGTTCTACAGATGAAAACGTCACCACAATAGTATTCTCTACGTGAAAGCAGTGGAGAAAGCCTCAGGTCGTACTAATTCGTTTACCGTCCTGCACACGGTATCATACGTTCGGTCAAGTACTGTAGCCCTTGGCATAAAGCCAAAATGACGAACACGCAACTTTCAAATATGTGCCACTGCGTTACATGCGAACGAAAATCTCTTTGTGAGCCCAACAGGAAACTTTCGTCAAATTTCTGCCTTACGATGATTTACATATATATAGTTCTTGATTTTCAACGCAGTGAGTGCGCGACGTCATTCAATATGAAAAAGTTGTCACCATCCCGGTTTTGTGGTTTTAACTGAACACATCGAATGTCCACGAATACATGGCACATAAGACATTTAGGCAATTTGTTTCAGTTGTTGATTCTACAGTAGGTTAGGATAGGCCTGGCATCGCCAAAATTCGACAGCCTGCTCTCCACTATTTGTTCATATTCACCGATTCAACAGCTGCCTGTTATAAAGGCATCGATTAAAAACTACGAATAATGTTGCTAACTAAGTGC